GACTGTGCAGAGGAGTGTGCGATTATATCATAAAACCTATTGTGACCAATAGAACCTGGGGCTCACCAGAAGACCGTATTAGCCCCCTAAGCCAAAGTTTAGGGAGTTGCCTCGGGGAGCTAATGCAACTTTTCAGGTCTCAGACGAACTTGGTCACCAAACCACCTGTGTTACAGTATGTAGGTTACATTAGTCCTACCAAAAACAAACCTTATTCATCCCTCTCCACTCCACTATATCAGCCACCTGCACCTGCTATCCGGAGCCCTACACTATATATACAAAAGTATGTGGACACACCTTCAAATTAATGGATTCGGCTATTTCAGCCACACCTGTTGCTGACAGGTGCATAAAATCGAGCATACCTCCATGCAATATCCATAGACAAACATTGGCAGTAGAATGGCCTTACTGAAGAGCTCAGTGACTTTCAACGTGGCACCGTCATAGGAAGTCAGTTTGTCAAATTTCTGCACTACTAGAGCTGCCCCGGTCAACTGTGCTGTTATTGGAGCAGTGGAAACACGTTCTCTGGAGTGATGAATCACGTTTCACCATCTGGCAGTCCAACGGACAAATCTGGGTTTGGCGGATGCCAGGAGAACGCTACCTGCCCCAATGCACAGTGCCAACTGTAAAGTTTGGTGGAGGAGGAATAATGGTCTGGGGCTGTTTTTCATGGTTCAGGCTAGGCCCCTTAGTTCCAGTGAAGGGAAATCTTAACACTACAGCATACAATGACATTCTAGACGATTTTGTGCTTCCAACTTTGTGGCAAGAGTTTGGGGAAGGCCCTTTCCTGTTTCAGCATGACAATGCCCTTGTGCACAAAGCGAGGTCCATACAAAAATGGTATGTTGAGATCGGTGTGGAAGAACTTGAACACCTTTGGGAAGACTGTGAGCCAGACCTAATCGCCCAACATCAGTGCCCGACCTCACTAATGCTCTTGTGGCTGAATGGAAGCAAGTCCCTGCAGCAATGTTCCAACATCTAGTGGAAAGCCTTCCCAGAAGAGTGGAGGCTGTTATAGCAGCAAAGGGGGGACCAACTCCATATTAATGCCAATGATTTTTGGAATTAGATGTTTGAGGAGCAGGTGTCCACATACTTTTGGTCAGGTAGTGTATTTCCAGTTCACCACCATTCCTAATCCCCTACGCTCCCCATTTTACTCACCTGTACTCTACCCTACCCTGCTAGTGTTGGTTGCTGCACTGTGAATCCTGGGGTGTATTCATTAGTGCATATTATAGGAAAACATTTTTCCAACAAAAACAAGAGTTTCTTATTGGACAAATTCAGGTAGGTCCCTCCTCGCTTCGGAGCTTTGCCTGAGAGTTTACTTTTGCGAGGGTGGAGACAAACTGGAACTCTCAATTTCTAACATGTGTAGACCCAGAACTTAATCACGCAGATGACCAAATTATGCACGATTTTAGTTCTGGGTTAGCTTAGATTACCACTGAAATAACGTTTTAGTCCAAGACAAGGCTTAATCTGTATATGGGAAACCGGCCCTCAGTGTCTGACTCAACTTTCTTGTCAAAGGATTGTTAGGTAATACAGGGCCAAACTGTTCAATTAATTCTCTCCATTTAAGAACACCTGCTATAGGTACATTCGTTCACGTGACTCTCACTAATGTCAGTCATTCCATTCCCCCTAGACATGTAATATATGCCAGCAATGAGGATAGTTAGAGCAGCTAGCAAGGCTGTCAGCTGGGTGAGAATTGACAACATGATCCCCCTCCTCAGAAACACTCGGTCCATATTGAGTTTCAGCAGGCTAGGCCCACTTAATGACCCCTTTGTCTCCCTGATACTTAGCCAGGAAACAGGACCGACCATGGGTTTACCAGCCAAGCCTCCTGTCTCAGGGTCTGTCTACCTTTCATACGTCTTACCAACCCAATCTGGTGGACATCTGTAGGGGCTTTACCTTGTCATTAAGGATAGACCATTCGCTCAGGCACCACCATATCTAACTCTGAGTGAACTTTCCCTCAGACTCCCTAAGCTCTCAGGGGAGCCCGAGAGTGGGGGTGTATTCCATCCATGCCCCCCCAGGGGGCACGTCCCATCGTTACCTAGGTGGGCGGATCAGGTTGCGTATCTCTCCCGGGAGCTGCTGGTTGTCTTTTGTTTTATAGTAACAGGGAACAAAAAGCCCCTGGAAAGTGTGGAGAGACAGGTGCCGTAGTGAGCTTAGTTAATGTAGCATGGCAGGTCATCCCTGTAACAAGGTTGGCTGGGTGTGGCCTAGGGTGGTCTAGCTGTCTATGCCGACGCCTCCCGATCAGATATACCGCTGCAGCATGGGTTCGAATCCAGCCCACTGCTGTTTCAGTACACTCTCTGCGCTATCGTTCCTCTATACGTCTGTTCTATCCAATAAACAAAAAATATGTGAGTGACACTGCCCCACTCCTTTATAAAAAAATGGTTGGTTAGTGCAACGATACACTACTGGTCAAAAGTTTTAGAACACCTACTCATTCGAGGGTTTTTCTTTATTTTTACTGTTTTCTACATTGTAGAATAAAAGTGAAGACATCAAAACTATGAAATAACACAAGTGGAATCATGTAGTAACCAGAAAAGTGTTAAACAAATCCAAATACATTTTATATTTGAGATTCTTCAAATAGCCACCCTTGGGATGGGATAATTGTGACTTGGGATAATAAGAATATGACATTTAGCACACGCTTTTATCCAAAGCGACTTACAGTCATGTGTGCATACATTTTTACTTATGGGTGGTCCCGGGGATCGAACCCACTACCCTGGCATTACAAGTGCCATGCTCTACCAATTGAGCTACAGAGGACCACTTTAGTAGTGGTTTCTTTGCAGCAATTCGACCATGAAGGCCTGATTCACACAGTCCCCTCTGAACAGTTCATGTTGAGATGTGTCGGTTACTTGAACTCTGTGAAGCATTTATTTGGGCTGCAGTTTCTGAGGCTGGTAACTCTAATGAACTTATCTTCTGCAGCAGAGGTAACTCTGTGTCTTCCATTCCTGTGGCGGTCCTCATGAGAGCCAGTTTCATCTTAGCGCTTGATGGTTTTTGTGACTGCACTTGAAGAAACGTTCAAAGTTCTTGAAATGTTCCGTATTGACTGATCTTCATGTCTTAAAGTAAGTCTTATTTGAGCTGTTCTTGCCATAATATGGACTTGGTCTTTTACCAAATAGGGCTATCTTCTGTATACCCCTCTACCTTGTCACAACACAACTGATTAGCTCAAACACATTAAGAAGGAAATAAATTCCACAAATTAACTTTTAAGAAGGCACACCTGTTAATTGAAACGCATTCCAGGTGACTACATCATGAAGCTGGTTGAGAGAATGCCAAGAGTGTGCAAAGCTGTCATCAAGGCAAAGAATCTCAAATATAAAATATACTGTATTTTGATTTGTTTAACACTTTTTTGGTTGCTACATGATTCCATATGTGTTAATTCATAGTTTTGATATCTGCACTATTATTCTACAATGTATAAAATAGTAAAAATAAAGAAAAACCGTTGTATATCAATCTCAAGTCCAATGACTTTGTTCCACCCTGATGCCATTAAGTTTCAGATGACTAGTCTTGGGGCAATCTATTGGTTCTCAAACTAGTCTTAGGAAAACATTTGACTCAGTTGGTTCAGCGTTGATGCAGTTCAAACAAACGTACTGTCTACAAGACATTACAATTAGCCAATGAGCCATATGAAAAAAGGTTAAAGAGAGAACAGGAATCATATCCACAAAAAATGTGTTAAGTGGTAGAGCAATGACAAGATGCGGATTCCACTGGTCCTGCGAAGACCACTCTGTTACAGCGGCTGAGATTTATATTACCATCATGGGATAAGGGGAGACAGAAAAACATGCGTGAATTGTAATCGACCTGGCTTTAAAATTGATTATGTCACAGTATTTGGAGCAAAATGCACAGAGAAAATTGCTAATCAGTATTAATTTTTTTATCACAAACTCATGTCAACTTACATCATGAAATCACATTGTGTACAGTTTCACATATAAAATCAAGGGACAGTGTATTACAGTGGTTTGTAGTGAATGGAAGGGCACATTTTACTCTAGTTTTTGTTGGCAGTGTGTAAAAATGCTCCGTATTTGTAGCTTTCAGTAGAACCAGGATTCTTTCTCACACCAGGACAACCTCCCTAGATATCTATGGTGTATATCTAGGGAGCTTTTTATTGGGTACTGGTCAGGTTATGTGCCCTGATTGGATGACAGGCTTTGTTTCTGGTCTGTAGAAGGCTTGTACAATAATAGCTAGCTTTTTCCTGACCATTTGAACTGACCGAAAAACTCTGGTCATCACTGACACTCAAAGTAGGGTTAATATGTAGTAGGATTATTTACAAATTCAACTTAAACTAGTAAACTTCTGTCTGGCACTTCTGTCTGGCAGCTTATGTCTCAAAACATTGTTATAGCTTAGAGGTCAATTTGATCAACTTCCACAGGCTACATTTTATAACGTGTTTACTATCTGTGCACTTTGTGTTGTTCTTATACAGTACAGGTGAAGCGTTCAAAGTGCTCAAGGCTGTAGGCACTAAGCAGTGTGACCTATCAGGGGTCTGGACCAGTAAGCCTTGTATTGGATCACCAGTCAGTCTATTTCCTCTTTGCCAAACTGCAGTGTTTTCCTTTTCTGTGGTTAACAGTGTTTTACAGCAGCAATGACAATTGTCTCTGTGGCAGTCATTCTCTCTTTTAGAACAGCAAGTTATCCATCATCCTTTGGACTAGCAGCTAGCTACCACCTATGCTTTTCATTCAGGCCTATGCACGAACACAGTTGGCGATCACGTAAAATGGCGATCCTGCATATTTGCATCTAGTTACAAATCACTGGGCTGCACACATTTGTGTATTCTTGCTATGCATCTACGCAGGGTTGCCATTTTGCATAGTTTATTGTAGTTCTTTTGTCCGTCCGTAGGGTATAAATGAAGCTTACGGGCCTTGTTTGGGGACCCAGGTGAAGTTCCAGCCTCCCTGGGTGTCCTTGCGGACGAAGGCCTGTCCCTGAGGAAAGCTGTGTGTCTTGAGTCTGACACTGCTGGAAGGGTTTAGGGACATGCTGAAGGCTAGCTTTGTCCGGCTACGTGGGGTAGACAGTGCAGGGTACTGAGTTGTCACATCGCCCCCTACATGACTGGAGGGGCTACGGCAGTGCCGGCTAGGAGTGTGGTGCAGCCCGGGACTCCTGTCCTGAGACAGGTTGGGAGAAGAGGCTAAGATGGGCCTGAATGGCTGTATTGGGTCAGTTGACGAGAGAGTGTTGACCAATTGGGGCAGTGGGGGTTCATAAGGGGTGACCTGGATATTGGGGGTGACTTCTATGCTAGGGCTGTAATCGACGGAGGGCACAGTTCCAGTGAAGTTAGAGCCGGAGTCTGTAGAGACACTGTAGTCACTGTTGGTGTTAAAGCAGTAATCAGTGTATAATCCTATACTGGCACCATGGCCAGGGCCATCAGTAGGTGAGTCATAAGCGGTGGTTTTATGATTGGTTATTTGGCAGTAGTCACCAGAGGAGTCTTTAATGGAGCTGCATTTGGTGAGGGAGTCAATGGAGGAGTTGAAGCTGTATTCAGTGGATGTTGTATCAATGGTGTCCTCATCCTTCAGGCCCAAGGTCTGCAGGATCCACAGGTCCACAGGTGGGGTGCTGACAAGCTCCTCTTCGTAACAGAACTGCAGGGACAAGTTCCGGCAGGTCCGTTTCACCTGAGAACCAAGGAGAAGCTGACTGGCACTGAGGTTCCGGAATTCTCCAACACCATGCAGATTCTGGATTTCAGAATTCCGCTTACCGTTCCTCCTCCTGTTGCCACTCTGAGCAGAGAGAAGTCTCTATGGAAAAGGAGGAACACAAGTGAGGAGGCTGTTTGAGAGAAACTACATCTCTGGAAACTGGGCAAATTAGGCTTTCCAAAGGGCACACTTTATGCTATGTTTAGAGATACACTTTAGAGATAAACTTTAGAGATAAACTCAGCTGAAATTAATCAACCAGTCATCCATTAATGCGCTTTGATTATGAAGTAATTACCTTTGTTTTTTCCTCCAATGTTTTCACAAATGAGGAGTTTAAGAATTCTTTGAGTGTGTTATTTTCCGTGTGCAGTCTTGCCAGTTCCTCCTCTTTCTGTATCAACGTGTCATGAAGCTTAGGAAAATGAAAGAAACATTTGTAAATATCTACAGTACAAATGATGTATTCAATATTTTATTTTCTAATTTGAAGAAGAAGAAGATGAAGATGAAGAAGGAAGGAACAGGAATGTTGACGGTAGCTGGTGGCCCAAAACATTGAGAAAAATCTAACTTTCAAGCCAGGGCTTGTGTCTGAGTCTGGCATCCGTGAATGGAAGTGAATTTTTGTGGCCCCACTGTTGACGGTGGAGAGAAAAATGTCAGTTTTAAAGTGAGTTTCCTGCAGCTGTAAACATTTTATAACAAATGTCATGCAATTCTACCCATTTTGCTATGACTTATGACATTTTAATGATATCTAAGTGAGAGTCACTAACAAAATCAATGGGGGCCCCCTGAAGGTCGGTATTTGGCCATGATTACGACACATTTAGATAGCTGGCTAGACTAACTTCCCAACAAGAGACATAAGAGAACATTAGAAAACCTGCTGATGCACAACCAAATTTCGAACTTGCACCTTGTGTATTCTACGATTCTAACGCTCAAAAGTTAAGTTGAGACCCCAACTGAGTTCCCCCAAAAATAATATATTTATTTTGTTTGGGGGGCCCCTAGTGCTTATGTCACTGGGGGCCGGCCATGCACGCACGCGTGCACACACACACACAGGGGCATATGAGCAACTCTGGCATTGGTGGCGGGGTATTAGGGCCATGGCCATTCATACTGTACTGAATACCAGTGTGACTGTTCATGTGGAGATATTCAATTAAACAACCATTTTGTACTCTTTCTTTGCTGCTGTATGATGCTGCATTTTTCTCACTTCCCCTATGTCAGGTTGTTACTAATGCTGCTATACATACTGTATGGTAATATTTTGAACTTATAATATAGTTATTATACTCTAATAATAACCAGTAACATTTTAATTTGTATTTATTAGGGATCCCCATTAGCTGCTGCCAAGGCAGCAGCTACTCTTCCTGGGGTCCAAACACATTAAGGCACTTACATCACACATAAAACAAAAGATAAAACAGTACATCATATAACATTATTACACCACTACATATCTACAATACAACATGTATAATGCCACCATACAACAATATTACAATGTACGTGTGTGTAGAGTGCGTGTGCTAGCGTTTGTGTTTGTATGTGTGTGTCTGTACCTTTGTGTGTGTCTCTTCACAGTCCCCACTGTTCCATAGGGTGTGTTTCTATCTTTAAAAAAAATTGAAATGATTCTACTGCTTGCATCAGTTACATGATGTGGAATAGAGTTCCATGAAGTCATAGCTCTATGTAGTACAGTGCACCTCCCATAGTCTGTTCTAGACTTGGGGACTGTGAAGAGACCTCTGGTGGCATGTCTTGTAGGGTATGCATTGGTGTCCGAATTGTGTGCTAGTAGTTTAAATAGACTGCTCGATGCATTCAGATTGTCAACACCTCAAGTAGTGATGAAGTCAATCTCTCCTCCACCTTGAGCCATGAACGATTGACATGCATATTATTAATGTTAGCTCTCCGTGTACATTTAAGGGCCAGCCGTGCTGTCCTGTTCTGAGCCAATTGTAATTTTCTGTCCCTTCTGACCACACGACTGAACAATAGTCCAGGTGCGACAAAACTAGGGCCTGTAGGATCTGCTTTGTTGATAGTGTTGTTAAGAAGGAAGAGTAGTGCTTTATTATGGAGAGACTTCTCCCCATATACTGTTGTATCAACATGTTTTGACCATGACAGTTTACAATCCAGGGTTACTTCAAGCATTTTAGTCACCTCAACTTGCTCAATTTCCACATTATTCAGTACAAGATTTAGTTGAGGTTTAGGTTTAGTGAATGATTTGTCCCAATACAATGCTTTTAGTTTTTTAAATATTTAGGACTAACTTATTCCTTGCCACCCATTCTGAAACTAACTGCAGCTCTTTGGTAAGTGTTGCAGTCATTTCAGTCGCTGTAGTAGCTGACGTGTATAGTGCCAGTGGCATGTCGTTAGTAAAGATTGAAAAAAGTAAGGGGCCCAGTCAGCTGCCCTGGGGAATTCCTGATTCTACCTGGATTATGTTGGAGAGGATTCCATTAAAGAACACCCTCTGTGTTCTGTTAGACAGGTAACTCTTTATCCACATTATAGCAGGGGGTGTAAAGCCATAACACATACGTTTTTCCAGCAGCAGACTATGATCGATAATGTCAAAGTCTAACAAAACAGCCCCCACAATATTTGTATTATCAATTTTTCTCAGCCATTCATTAGTTATTTGTGTTTTAAGTGCTGTGCTTGTTAAATGCCCTTCCTTATAAGCGTGCTGAAAGTCTGTTGTCAATTTGTTTACTGTAAAATAGTATTGTATCTGGTCAAACACAATTTCTTCCAAAAGTTTACTAAGTGTTTGTAACAGGCTGATTCGTTGGCTATTTGTATTTGTATAGGATCCCCATTAGCTGCTGCCAAGGCTACTCTTCCTGGGGTCCAGCAACATAAAGGCAGTTATACCATTTAAAATATTACACTACATTACATTTGATAACACTTTACCCAATACATTTAGTGTGTTCTCTCAGGCCACAACTACATTATCACATGTCTACAATGCAAAATCCATGTGTAGATGTGTGTGGAGTGCGTGTCTTATCATGCGTATGTGTGTCTGTGCTTGTGTGTGTGTCTCTTCACAGTCCCCGCTGTTCCATAAGGTGTATTTTTATCTGTTTTTTAAATCTGATTTTACTGCTTGCATCACTTACCTGATGTGGAATAGAGTTCCATTAAGCCATGGCTCTATGTAGTACTGTGCGCTATTCTTTCCTCCAGGCCTGAGGGCACACACTTTCTAGTAGGCTTAGATTGTAGATATGGCAAATAGCAGTGGCAATATCATCCACTATTATCCTCAGTAATTTTCCATCCAAGTTGTCAGACCCCGGTGGCTTGTCATTGTTGATAGACAACAATACATTTTTCACCTCTTCCACACTCACTACGGCATTCAAAATTACAATGCTTGTCTTTCAGAATTTGGTCAGTTATATTAGGATGTGTAGAGTTGGCGTTTGTTGCTAGCATGTCTTGTCAATGAAAAAATCATTAAAGTAGTTGGCAATATCAGTGGGTTTTGTGATGAATGAGCCATCTGATTCAATGAACGATGGAGCTAAGGTGCTCCAAAGCTTTTTACTCTCATTCTTTATATCATTTATCTTTTTTCATAGAGTAGTTTCTTCTTCTTTTTATTCAGTTTAGTCACAAGATTTCTCAATTTGCAGTATGTTTGCCAATCGGTTGTGCTGCCAGACTTATTTGCCATACCTTTTGCCTCATCCCTCTCAACCATACAATTTTTAAATTACTCATCAATCCAAGGGGATTTACCAGTTTTGCCATTTTCTTAATGCGTGCATGTTTATTAGTAACTGGAATAAGCAATTTCATAAATGTGTGAAGTGCAGCGTCTGGTTGCTCCTCATTACACACCACAGACCGGCAAATATTATTTACATCATCAACGTATGAATCACTACAAAACTTATTGTATGACCTCTTATACACAATATTAGGCCCAGCCTTTGGAACTTTGGTTTTCCTAGATATGCCTACTATATTGTGATCACTACATCCGATGGATTTGGATACTGCTTTAAAGCAAATTTCTGCAGAATTTGTAAAGATGTGATCAATACTGTCACGCCCTGGCTCTAGGGACTCTTTTAAGTTGAGCCAGGGTGTGTAGAGTTTATGTTTTGTGCTCGTTGTGTCTAGTCTAGTTTTTGTATATCTATGTTGGCCAGAGTGGTTCTCAATCAAAAGCAACAAGTATCAGCTGTTGCTGGTTGTCTCTGATTGGGAACCCTATTTAGTCAGGTGGTTTTCCCACAGTGTTTGTGGGATCTTGTTCCATGTTGGTTTGTGTTTTGCACCTGTGGACGTCACGTATCGATTTGTTGTTTTGTTCGTGTATCATTTAATAAATAAGTATGTTCACCTTCCACGCTGCGCCTTGGTCCTCTGTTCCCGACGATCGTGACAGAAGATCCCACCAATACAGGACCAAGCAGCGTGCCCAGGCAGGAGAGGAGAAGCGGCGCCAACCGGGCAGTCGTCGGACAGGCGAGGGGCACCCCCAAGACATTTTTAGGAGGGGGCACATGGCAGGGACGACGGGGCCACTGGAGGCAGATAAGGGGCGAGTTGGTGGACGAGGAGAGAAGGCCACCGGGTTACTGGAGCCATTGGTGTATAGAGGGAAGGAAAATGTAGAGGCACGGCGAGAGGTACTGAAGTGTGTTGCCAGTCCGGTCCGGCCCGTTCCTGATCCCTGTGTAAGGCCAGTGGTGTGTGTTCCCAGTACGGTCCGGCCTGTTCCTGTCCATCGCGCCAAGCCTATGGTGCGCGTCGCCAGCCCGGCCCGGCCTGTTCCTGCCCCTCGCACCAAGCCTATGGTGCACATCGCAAGCCCGGCCCGGCCTGTTCCTGCTCCCCGCACCAAGCCAATGGTGCGCGTCGCCAGCCCGGCCCGGCCCGTTCCTGCTCCCCACACCAAACCTGTGGTGCGCATCGCCAGCCCGGTCCGGCCTGTTCCTGCTCCCCGCACCAAGCTAGTGGTGCGCGTCGCCGGCCCGGCCTGTTCCTGCTCCCCGCACCAAGCCAATGGTGCGTGTCGCCAGCCTGGTCCGGCCTGTTCCTGCTCCCCGCACCAAACCTGTGGTGCGCATCGCCAGCCCGTGCCCGTTTCACCGGTGCCTGGTCAGGTACCGGTCAGCTGCTCCACACCGGAGCCTGAGCAATCCGCTCCACCGAAGTCCAGTCCAGCTCCAGCCAGTGGGGCTAGACCAGACCAGGGGCACTACGGGGGGGTTAGTAGAGGGTGGTGGTCAAGCCCGGAGCCGGAACCGCCTCCGAGGAGGAATGCCCACCCAGCCCTCCCCTGTTCGGTGATGTTTAGGCGCGGTCGCAGTCCGCGCCTTTAGGGGGGGTACTGTCACGCCCTGGCTC